CTTGAATATCTAGAACCTTCTGAAATAGAGGTCCAGAAAAGTCCATGTGTCTGTTCTGATCAAAGCCTTTATGCGTCAGGCCTTGGTTAGTGTGGCTTTGACACCAACATTGGCCAGTGCAAAGTAAATAAAGAAACCTTAGCGATATCTGTACTCTTTAGTTCAGTAATTCCTCTTGTAGAGATCTGGCCTTAAGAAATAATCAGAGATATGGAAAGGAAATTTATGTACAATGATATACATCCAAAACCTAATTATAAAGTAAGAATTTGGAACCAGTCTATAAGTTCAACAATAGCAATAACTAATGCTTATTAAGGTTTTATTTGTGTAAAACATGGCACTAAGTGCTTGATATGAACTATCTCATCAAACTTCATGACCTCACTGCTTTTATCTGATTTTACAAATGAAGAAACAGTCACTGAGAGGTTAAGCAACTTGCCCAGGGCCATGGAACTCCATCTAGAAGAGCCAGGACTTGGACTGAGTTTTGTTTGAATCTACGGTTGGTGTTTGAAACCATCAAGCTATACAGTTTCTCAATAGGGGTATGATTAAATAAATACAGTAAAACATGATGAAATATTAAGTAACCGTAGCATGATGTTTTGAACAATTATTAATTAAATGAGGAAATTTTTATTGAATAATATTGAATACGGCCGGGTGTGGTGGCTCACACCTGTCATTCCAGCACTTTGGGAGGCTGAGGCAAGCAGATCACTTGAGGTCAGGAGTTCCAGACCAGCCTGGCCAACATGGCAGGACTTCATCTCTACTAAAAATACAAAAATTAGCTGGGTGTGGTTGCATGCACCTGTAATTCTCGCTACCCAGGAGGCTGAGGCTGGAGGATAGCTTGAGCCCAGGAGGCAGAGGTTACCGTGAGCCAAGATCATACCACTGCACTCTAGCCTGGGTGATGAAGTGAGACTCTGTCTCAAAAAATATATTTTTTTAATAAGAAAGATAAGACAAAATATTTACTAAAGAATATAATCTCCACTAGGCTACTGACATACAAAAAAGACTGCTAACATATTTTTTTAAATAATCATTTCTAGTTTATAAGCAAATATGAAATTGTATTCTCTTCTCCATACCCTTCTATACTTTTCAAGCATCCTGTAACTAGCATATACTGCTTGTGTAGTAAAGGAAAGTAGTTGGTTTTAAGAAGAAAATAACTATGCTAGAAGATTCAAAGCATCAGTGCTAAATGGGTCAGCACTGTAGGGCTTGTGGGGTCCAGAGTCCCACACGGCCTGGCAGCCCCAACACACCATGGCGAGCCCTCAGTAGAGCAATGCTAAGTCTCATCCTGGGAGAGGCTGTTTGCAGGGCTGACTCTGCTGCCCACCCCAAGCCATCCTGCTGTGGATGTGAGGTTATTAATGAGATCAGTGACCAGCACAAACTACATGTCAGAACTGGATGGGAATTTCTACTCTTCACCCTCTACCTAGGACTTTGAGCAAGTTATTTATCCTTTCTACTCTTTTGTTTTTTCCTTATCCGTATAATGAGGACAGTAATATTGTCTGAATGATTGGGTTGTTGTGAGGATTAAATGAGAGAAACCATGTAAAGTTTAGCATGTTACCTGCGACATAATACTCATTACATGGTCACTTTAAAAGGATGACAAAACATACTTTGCCCCATGGTCGATGATATGGTTTGGCTGTGTCTCCACCCAAATCTCATCTTGAATTGTAGTTCCCATAATCCCCTGAGTCATGGGAGGTGATTGAATCATGGGGGCAGTTACACCCATGCTGTTCTTGTGGTAGTTCTCGTGAGATACAATGGCTTTATAAGGGGCTTTTACCCCTTTGCTCAGCACTTCTCTGGCCTGTCGTCATGTAAACGTGCCTGTTTCTCCATCTGTCGTGATGGTAAATTTCTTGAGGCCTCTCCAGACATGTGGAACTGTGAGTCAATTAAACCTCTTTTCTTTACCAATTTCCCAGTTTTGGCCAGGTGTGGTGGCTCACACCTGTAATCCCAGCACTTTGGGAGGCCAAGACAGGTGGATCACCTGAGGTCAGGAGTTTGAGACCAGCTTGACCAATATAGTGAAACCCCGTCTCTACTAAAAATACAAAAAAAATTAGCCAGGTGTGATGGCATGTGCCTGTAGTCCCAGCTACTTGGGAGGTTGAGACAGGAGAATTGCTAGAACCCAGGAGGCAGAGGTTGCAGTGAGCCAAGATCATGCCACCGCACTCTACCCTGGGCAACAGAGGGAGACTCTGTCTCAAAAAGAAAAAAACTTCCCAGTTTTGATTATGCCTTCCTAGCAGCGTGAAAATAGACCAATACAGTTGATACAGCGAGAAGAGCTGAGGTGATGATTTGGCATCATCCCTAAAATACAGATGGAATACGTTATTACTTAAACCAGGTCATTTGAGTGGATTTGATTACACTAGCCTGGTGTTTTGGTAGGCCATAAAATATGGTTGTTATGCTTTAAATTTGGTCCAAAAATAAGAAACTCTATTTCTTGTTTGAAACCACTCTAAATTTCCACAGGCACATTGTCTTCTTGTAAGACTACAGTTTGATGTCAGTGTGTATAAGTTATGTAAAAATGCTTCGCAAATTAAAGATAATTTGAATTTTTTAAGTATATTCAAGTATATCCTGTGAGATTAATAGGCATACGTTAACATTCTGTTGCAAGGACAGAACTGTCTTATTATGGACGTTAACACCACAAACACTAAATAAAATATGAGTTTTTCCCTAGCAATTTAGGCAATATGCTGATGACAGAACTGGTATAAAAAACAGTTTCCAGTCATAAAGGCTGCATCTTTGCGTGTATGCGTGCATGTGTGTGTGAGATTCTGGGCTTGCGAATGCTTTTGTATGGTAAAATACTTGCAAATACCATAAAACACTAATAGCAGGTGGATTTAAAAGATGGGATTAGGGATGGTTCTTTTTTCTCCTCTTTATTTCTCCTGCTGAAAATTTTTCCGTACTCTAATTATTGCTTTCCAATGAAAGATGTTAAGTATAATTTTAAAAGAAATGACCTAGCCACGTGGTGGCAGTATTCCATGAAGAATATAATCTACATAGCTTCGTTTCAGTCCCGTGCCTAACATTGGCTTGATTTCTTCTCTGACAATTTTGTTTATAAATTGTATTATTTTAGATATCTGATTCTTTGTGAAATTTCCCTCTGAGAATTAGGCACCGCTTATAAATGACTTTAATTCAATGCACCTGGTTGATTTGAAACTATGATAATAAATAGACTCTAAAGGAAGATTGTATTTGTTCCCTGTTAGAGCTACCAAAGCCCTAGTGGGATATGAATATTGTTTTTATATAATACAAATTAATAACTGAAGTTTCATTGCCAAATAACCACCTGTAGTTTATACAACAGAATTACATTAACCTGTATTAAAAGCCAACAGCACCATACATTACTTTTAAATTAAAAATGCTAATTTTAATATAATAAAAGTGAAAACAAAAATACTATAGCAACATATGCTATAAGCCCATGATTTTGCCAAATTGAAAATTGTGTTACCTTTTAATGTAATATTTTTATTCTTAAAATTTCTTTTTTTTTTTTTGAGATGGAATCTTACTCTGTCACCCAGGCTGGAGTGCAATGGCGCAGTCTCTGCTCACTGCAACTTTTGTCTCCCGGGTTCAAGTGATTCTCCTGCCTCAGCCTCCTGCGTAGCTGGGATTGCAGGCTAATATAGATGCAGAGTCCCGTGTGAGCTCCCTGCAAATGAAGGTGGCCTATAGAGATACCGCTTTAGATGAATAAACCTGACTATGGGCCGTCAGGGCATAACCTTGTTCCCTCAGAGTTTGATGTAACCATATACCCAGAAAAAGACTTTGCTGGTCTCAGCTCCTGGCCTCAAGTGATCCCCTTGCCTCAGCCTCCCAAGTGCTGGGATTACAGGTGTGAGCCACTGTGCCTGGCCAGACTAGAGTTTTTCAAAACTTTCTGAAGCCCCATAGGAACGTTTTAATTGAGAATATGGGATTCTTTTCTCAAAGACCGTCACATGGCCACATGGCTCATTATACAAGTCTGTGATATCTCAGTGACCGTTAAGGATGCCTTAAGTTGTGATTTCTCCCTGCCCCCAAAGTAATTTTTTTAAAAGAAGAATTTGAGCACTGAAATAAGAATGACGGAATACACAGGGCTTGAAGCACTCTCAGGGATCCAAGGCTTAGAACCATCTTCAGAAATGTCTTCTGCCATTTGGGAGAATTGTGTCCTTGAAGTCGCTTCTGTCAGCTTTTAATTGTCAGGAAGGAGGAGACCAGCAAGGCTGCACCAGGACACCTTTGAGTTCAGACTGAAAGTTAGGTGCCAAGGTTGCTCACCCCTCCCTGGTGAGAAGCATTCATTAGCAGTGTCCTGACAGCCTTTATACCTAGACCAGGCTGCCAGGATCTTTGCCAGCAGGAAAAGAGCAGAGAGAAGTCATTGGTGACATCCCACCCCTGTGTTACAACACCAAAGTGTCTGCTAACCAAAATTAAGTTTCTTATGAGGAGATGAGCAGCATCCCAAAGATTGTGCAAAGGCAAAAGTAACACATCTTGGAGACCTTCAAGGAAATCTGAACCTTATTGCACCATCAATTGCAAGGAATCAAATAGAGATCAGTTATCATGCATTTTTCTCACTCAGTGAAATAAAGCTCCTTGGTATTTGCCACCTTGAAGCTTCATAAAATTAGTGGACACATCTTGAAGTTTTATAATCTGGGTAGTTTTTAATTGCCTTTGCAGTGTTTCTTCCTTTGAGATTTATCCAATTAAATAAAAAGAAGAAAAGACACACACTCGAAGGCCATTGCTTCTATTCCTCCCTTCAAGCCCATTAAAGTTATTGGTTTGCTTTAGTTATCTCTGAACAAGGGAAGAAACTCTGTTGGGAAATTTGGCAAGCTGAGTGCAAAATATAAGAAATTGACAATCTTTCCTTTTGGTTTAAGTTCCTCAGGTCACACCAAAATCACTCCAACATGACACATGGAATTCTGGACTTCTAGTTTCTTCCATCTCTACAAGACACCTTACTTCTGGTAAGAAAATACCACTTAGGTTTTTGAGTAGTCTTTTAGTAATTGCCCATTTTAACCTATCATACTGAAAAAACACATGTGTTAAATTTCTGGATAATAAGATACGCCTTATGCCTTCCATAGGAAAATAATAGACAAACTACAAAGATCTGCTTAAAACGGAATTTGAGAGGTAACTTAGATGGATTTTTCCAGCTTTTGCAATAGGTTGAATACATTTTTAAAATATTTATTTATCTATTTATTTATTGATTGATGGAGACTCGCTCTGTCGCCCAGGCTGGATGGAGTGCAATGGCGTGTTCTCAGCTGACTGGTTCTGAGGTTCAAGTGATTCTCCTGCCTCAGCTTCCTGAGTAGCTAGGATTACAGGCAACTGCTATCATGCCTGGTTACTTTTTGTATTTTTGTAGGGATGAGTTTGTACCTGTTAGCCAGGCTGGTCTTGAACTTCTGACCTCAGGTGATCCCTTGCCTAGGCCTCCCAAACTGCTGGGATTACAGGCATGAGCCACTGCACCCAGTCACATTTTTATTTTAATAGCTGCTAGGGCTCAAGACTCAAAAAGTTCTTTCAAAACAAAATATTTACCTATCATGTGCTAGCAGTTTTGTAGACATCTTCAATTTTCAAAGCAGCCCATGAGATAAGTGTTATGCATCTATTTTGTAATGAGGAAACTGAAACTTAGAGTGGTTGAGAAATCTTTTCAAGGTCACAGAGCTGCTAAGTGACAGACTAAACTTCAAATCCTTTTCTTTCAATATCCTGGAGTCTCTGCTCTTTTATACAAACCAGCTCCCATTGGTTGTTAGCATGACTGTTATTGTATTGATGAGCTTGCCTAGATGTTTTAGTTATAAAAAATTGAGATCTGATTGTACAATGGGTGAGCATAACTCTAAATAGAAATTTCGAGTTAAAAATTTTAGGAATGACTATTTCACCATTGGCCACTGACAGACCATTTCTCTCCTTGCACAGAAATAGGCAGGAATAGTATAAGAACTTTTGTAGGTTGTATTGATATTCTTTGCACCTTCATTTATTTAATATTCATTAAGCAACTCCTGTATGCGAGGCACTGTTCTGAGTGCTGGGGAATCAGCAGTAAAAACAATGAGCAAAGCCCCTATCTTCATGGAGCTTCCATTCTAGATAGACGGGGCAGAAAAACAGCAAACAAAATAACAAGAAAAGTCAGGTGGTGGTGAAGTGTCGTAAAGAAACACGAAGTGGCTAGGCACAGTGGCTCACACCTTGTAATCCCAGCATTTTAGGACGGCAAGGCAAGCAGATTGCTTGAGTCCAGGAGTTTGACACCAGCCTGCACAACAAGCCAAAACCCCGTTTCAACAAAAAATACAAAAATTAGATGGGCGTGCTGGTGTGCACCTGTAGTCCCAGCTACTCGGGGGGCTGAGGTGGGAGGATCCACTGAGCACAGGAGATAGAGGCTGCAGTGAGCTCCACTGCACTGCGGCCTGTGCAATAGAGCAAGACCCAGTCTCAAAAAAACAACCAAAAACAACAACAAAATAATAACAGAAGAATATGAAAAAGAAACATGAAGCAAGGTAAGGGCATTCTGAATTTGAATTTGTAGATATGAATCAATTATGAGTCAAGTGCTTAGGTTCAGTATGGTTCCCAAATTACAGATGCCTACACAGACCTACCCTACACCTTGATATTTCTGTGGGAACAGTGGAGGCTAGGAACTCGTGGCAGCTCTGTTAGATAAGTATCATTATCTCTATTTTGCAAAAGAGAAAATCTGAGATCCAGCAAGTTCATAATTATGCCCCAAGGTCATAGAGCTGATAAGAGGCAGAATTTAATTCAAACCCAGGTATCTCAGGCCATACTCTTGGTCATTCTGCTCTACTGCTTAGACCCCTTTGCCAAGCACTGTGTTAACTTGAGGGCTGTCTATCCTTTTCCTGGCACTAATTAATGCCCAGGGGTGTGTGGCAGCCAGTACCCCTCATTAGTTGCTTGAAATAGTCAGCAATAGCTCTTCAGCCCTAGGAAAACATTAATTCCTTATCCTATCAAGATTTTGCAGTGAGCTACAGTTACTCAGACCCTTGCCTGCTGATTGGCTTTAAAAGAGGGCCAGGCAGCTGGGAGACCCCCGTATGTGAAATAACTAGGATGGGGCAAATACAATGTCTGCCACATGGTAAGTACCCAATAAACATTTACTGAAAGGAGGGTGGGAGTGAGGAAGGAGGATGGAAGGAAAGCCAATACCCAGCATGGCTCTAGAACAGATTGCAGTGTGATAAGTAATGTCTCAACTATCTTCTATATTTGAAAATAGGGCTTTTTCATGTACCAGGGAGAGAACATGATGAGCCTGGTGGGTAATATAGGTTGAATAAATTATATTAATTATTTAAACATTTCAGGAGATTAATTCAGTTTCAAAATGCAAGAAAAGCATTGTTTTTGTTTTGTTTTGTTTTGTTTTGTTTTTGAGACAAAAGTCTGGCTCTGTCACCCAGGCTGGAGTGCAGCGGCACAATCTTGGCCCACTGCAACCTCTGCCTCCCAGGCTCAAGCCGTCCTCCTACCTCACCCTCCCTAGTAGTGGGGACTACAGGCACATGCTACCACACCTGGCTAATTTTTGTAATTTTTGTAAAGACAGGATTCTCGCTTTGTTGCTCAGGCTGGTTTCAAACTTCTGAGCTCAAGTGATCCTCCTAACTTGGCCTCTCAAAGTGCTAGGATTATAGGTGTGAGCCACCACACCCAGCCGGCATTTTTTAAAAAAAAAAAAACAAAAACAAAGTCTTGCTCTGTTATCCAGGCTGGAGTACAGTGGTGCTGTCTCAGCTCACTGCAACCTTCACCCGCCAGGTTCAAGCAATTCTCCTGCCTCAGCTTCCTGAGTAGTTGGGATTACAGGTGCACACCACCACACCCAGCTAATTTTTGTATTTTCAGTAGAGGCGGGGTTTCACCATGTTGATCAGGCTGGTCTCAAACTCCTGACCTCGTCATCTGCCTGCCTTGGACTCCCACAGTGCTGTGATTGCAGGCATGAGCCACTGCGCCTGGTTGCATTGTTTTTTAAATAAGTGTGAGTGCAATATATATGGCAATTTTGATTTCTTTCTTTTTCTATTTTTTATTTTTACCTTCCCAGTGTATGATTTCTTTCTTATCACATATATTGTTCTAAGTAAAGTGGATGTCCTGTCTCAGCAGGAAAAAATTCATGAACAATAGATTTTGAAGAATGATGACAAATTGCACACATTCTATCTCACACAAAACATTAAAAAAAATTTAATATGATTGTGACCAGCTTTAGACATTGTTACAGCAATTGAGAATTCTCACGTGTGTCAAACAACCCAAATTAGATTCACCACTAATAATTTATGTAAAATTTGCATGCACAAGCTGACCACATTTGCCAGAGATGCACTTCTAAAAACCCACTGACATCAGATACACGTAGCCCAACTTTCTCAAGCTAAACGTTGTTTCCTGGGGTAGTTGTGAACTCTGGTAAAGCAGCCACTTTATGGCCCAAGGTAAAGGTTAATTTTGCTTCCCTCTGCCCTTTCTACTTTGAGAACTTTGCTTTGAGCAGAGGAGAGAGAATGGTAATTCTGGTATCACATGAGCACCAATGCTTAGTTAAAATTATTTTTCTTTCCTTTCATTAGGCAACAGAGATGACATTGGACTTTTATTGGGAATGATCATCTTTGCTGTTGTGTTGTCAATTCTTTCTTTGATTGGGATACTTAACAGATCACTCAGAACTGGGTAGGTTTTTGCAGAATTTCTGTTTTCTTATTCAGACTACATGTACATGTATTGCCAAAATTTAGTCATTTCAGTTGTTTACTAGAAAAATCTGTTAACATTTTTATTCAGATAAAAGAAGATAAAAGGAATAATGTTTAATAAGTACTTACCCATGCCAAACCCTTTACAAATATCTTTCCTTTAATCCTCAAAATGACCCTGCCAGAAAAGCTTCCTGACCTATTTTACAGATGACTTAAATGAGGCTTAGAGAGACTAAGTGTTCAGCCCGGGATCACTGAGCACTAAGCCCTGAGTCCAAACACGCTGATATCAAAGCCCATTTCTCTCTTTACTACATGGCCTTTTCTTTTGCGCCTCAAATTTACTTACAGTGCCTGGATTCTTGAGAGTGGTGAAGCCACAAATTGCCTTGTGTTAAAAGAAAAACTTCAGCCAAATTAAATTTAAAGGAGTTTAATTAAGCAACAGACGTGTGAATTGGGCAGCCCCCAGAATCACAGCAGATTCAGAGAGACTCCAGGGATACATTGTGATCAGAGCAAATTTATAGACCAAAAAAAAAAAAAAAAGTGACATACAGAAATTGGCAGTGGGGTACAGAAACAGCTGGATAGTTTACAGGTTGGCATTTGCCTTACTTGAACACAGTTTGAACACTTGGCAGTCTATGAGTGGTTGAAGTGTGGCTGCTGGATTGGCCAAGACTCAGCTATTGCTACAGGCACATACTCCTAAGTTAGGTTTTCAATTTTGTCTGCCTACTACCTTAGGTTACAGTTTATCCACAAGGACTTGAATATAGAAGTATTGAGTCCTGCTCACACCATATTTAGTTTACTTTAATAGTTCCCCCCTTTTGGCTATTTTCTAAATTTTGAGAAATTGACCAAAACTTTAGTCATTGATGTCACTGTCACTATCGTAAATGTATTTACATGATCTTGAAACCTATCGGGAAATAGTAGAACAGTGTATTCTGTAAGGTGGGAACAAGGACTGAGTAGAGGATACCTCCTTATGCTGGAACATCCTGTTGATAGGAGAAAAACAAAACCTGGTCTGTTCTAGGATCTATGTGTTTCCTTAAAGTCTTAGTTTGATTATGTCACATTTAGCATGAGCAACTCCATTTTGGTTTGGTTTGGTCTGCTGGGGTCTAGTGCATGAGCTCAGTCCAAAACAATGTCCTCCCATAATTTCGTTTAAAAAAAAAAACAAACCCTTTTTGGTCAGGTTCTCACTTAGGTGAGAGTGTGACCAAAACTTAGGGCCTCAGTGCCACTCTTAGTTACCATCATTCTAGGTTTCTGGTCTCAGCATGTAATTCATAGGTTATGGTGTCCTGATGGTCACACATTTCTTTCAGCTCTTGTTATTCCAGTTGAAGAGTGATCATTTGACATTCTGGAGATGGCTGCTTGCAAACATTTAAAACCTTTGAGAGAATACAGCATACCAGGGAGATTACTATTAGGACTATCAGGAGAGTAATACCAAGAGTTTAGAGTATGTTCCTTACCCAGGGCTCTCATAAACCAAACCATCTAAAATCAAATAGATCAAATAATGAGCTAGATTAAGAGTCTACTCACTTAACTAAGTAGTTTTTTCATTAATACCCTGTAACTGAATCACTATAATACCTGATGTTTTCTCCATAGGCCATAAGTGCCACCAGCAGCACAGATAGATACTTTTCTGTTTAACCAATTCTATTATTTAGTACAACTTTCATGAGAGAATTTAAAGTCTATTGTGTAACCATAGCCTTTGCATTAGAATCGCTATGGAGCCTATCATAAGGGATACAGTTCTAATCATTGGCTCTTTTACTTCAAACCATGGAAAAAGGACCTAACAAATGATGCCCTTCTAGAAGAGTGAAGGCCTCCTAGCAATGTTCTCTTTAACCCATGATGTGGGTCAAGAGGAATGAATCAATGTTCTGTTTCTGACTGATTATGAGGCAACACATGAACCATTAAAATTTCTAACCTGCATTGGGCCTTCCTCTTTTATTGATCAGAGTATAACATTATCCATGTATAAGGCTGTCTGCAAAATCCTTCACAAATAAACATATACCCTATAATACACACATAACAGATCCTCTTGTCATTTTTATTGTTCATGGAGGCATAAGCAAGAAAAAAAATATTCAAAGTCTTGATAGTAGAGAAGTCTTAATCCATGATTTTGGGAAAAGCAGTTAACATTAAGGATGCCATCTTCTTCCGGGGAGAAACTGTTGTAGTTAGCTTTACCTTAAGGCTTCCAATGGGTGTGGAGGGACCCTTCTCAGTTGTGAGATTATGAAAGTTGTGGGACCTATGAAACCTAAAGTTCAAGGTCCCAAAGTTTGCTGCAGTGTGGATGACGAGGATAGTCTTTCTCTAATTTTCTCAAAAGATCCATTCTTTGAGTTCTAGATTGTGAAGGGGTTGATTGTCCTCAGTGAATCATAAAAAGCTTTTTTTACCATTTAAAAATATACTGTAGCATAATAACCTACTATTCTAACATCAGTCCTCTTGCATGGGAAAGCTTTCATGCAAGCAGAAAACATTGAAAATGCAAATTGAATGAAATCCCCTATAAATGTTTAATGGCTCAGCAGGTAGCCAACTGTACCTGAAGCTTTGATTGTTTTCCCAGGAATATGGGTTTCACAAACCAAACACTGGTTATAACTATTTTTATAGTTTATAAGTCACCACACAAACATATTTAATTTGGATAATTTTATCTTCCATTACGAGGCATGGAATGCAGAACTTTTAATAATAAAAGCTTTAAAGACTCTGAAAAAACAAGGTGGCTGTCCTGGTTCTCCATGAGACCATGCTTAACAGTGGACTTATGTCCTCTTGAATTCCAGTTGTTTCTCCCTGTAGGTGCATAGCACTGATAACTGATGGGTTATCATAGGTAATTTGACTTAGACCATGGAGCTCATTCAAATTGTATATATAAACAATTTTTCGTATTGGCTGATTTAGCATGCTGATTTTTCCTGCTGATTTAGCATGAAAATCTGGTAGAGTCTTTTCTTGGTATTTAATTAATTTTTGTTCTACTTGGGTTAGCAGTTTTATAAACCAGTCAGTCTTTTTATTAAAGTTTTAGGGATTTCTACCCAGTCTAAATAATCTGAATTTAAAGTTATTAGAAACCTGTATTCAAGAGTCCTTTTTAGGGTCCTTTTTATCCTTTCCTGAACTTTCTAAAAGATAACATATTCTAGGATTTTGTGTGTTCATGAAGTTTTTGGAAATTGCATTAGCATTAAGTTAACTTAATGTAATGACTTTACACAGTGATAGTTAAAAACACAATTAACAAGGAAATTTGTTTATCTCTGTGGCCTATGATAACATAATAATCTTCATTATGAATGAAATCATATACTCAGACATTAGAATTTTAGAAATCATATACAATTTTGGAACATATAATAATCCAGTTTACCTCTCTTTTGGATGCTCCAAGGACCCTCTGTAGCATCCACAAGTTAGGGGTTAGAAAGAAAATTTTGGAGCTGAAATTTCATATTGGGAAGCCTATCAAATATGTTATAAGTAAAATGCTTAATATTATGCTTAACCAGTTTGACCATGAGATGAGATTCTTATAAACATTTTATAATCGTTTACAAATTTTTGTTAAAAACAGATCAGTGCTCTAAGAAAAACCAATTGTGCTTTTATTCCAATTTTAACTTACAGAAAAACTTAACAATATCCTTTTAACTTTAGCCAATGTCTGCACAGGATTTCTTTTTACACAATTTTTTACAAACCTTCTACAGTGTGTTCAAACCTTTCGCTTTATTTTAATCTAATTTAAAACAATCCTTTAACCCTCTAACCTAGACAAAAATGTACATTACTGTGCCTTCTTATAACCTTTCACTAAAAATGTATTTTACTTTCCATACATACCTTGCGTGTAAATGTATTTTCAGTAGTCTTGATTACTTGGTATAATGGTAACTCTTAGCAACTTTAACTTTTGGTGTATAAATTTCCTTTTATGAATCCTTCTGTGACTTACACAGACCACCTATGACATGCATAGATTTTCTTACTGTCCTAATCATCCCTGTTTTTATTTTTTATTTATTTATTTATTTATTTTTTTTTTGAGACGGAGTTTCACTCATGTTACCCAGGCTGGAGTGCAATGGTGCGATCTCGGCTCACCGCAACCTCCGCCTCATGGGTTCAGGCAATTCTCCTGCCTCAGCCTCCTGAGTAGCTGGGATTACAGGCACGCACCACCATGCCCAGCTAATTTTTTGTATTTTTAGTAGAGACGGGGTTTCACCGTGTTGACCAGGATGGTCTCAATCTCTTGACCTCGTGATCCACCCACCTCGGCCTCCCAAAGTGCTGGGATTACAGGCTAAACAACCAGTTATTTTACTTTAGGACAAGAATTTTCTGACAATATCCTTTCTTATATGAAATCTCTTTTCTTTATAACCTTTTATTTTGCATAGCTAGGGGAGCATGACTAATTCCATATGTCCCCAGGCCTTATCAAGAATCTAATGTCTCCAAAGTAGGTAAATTGAACAATTTTCAAAACTCAAAGCAGTTTATGATCTTAAAGCATTAGTAAACCTAATCTCTGACCTGTCTAATTCAGACCAAATGTCTTTATTTTACCAATAATCTTTAAAGCTGTATTTATTTCCCAAAGATTACTAAAGTTGCATGAACTAAAAGACATTACAGTTTTTATTTTTTCTTCCAAAATGTTTGACCTAAGCACTTATTTTTCTTTAAGCCAGTTACTTAGAGTTCTTTTATATAAACATCACACAGACAACACATATATAACTACACAGAGAACAAGATCCAGTAGTTGTAGGTTTTCCTTTGCCAGTTTCTTCATTGGATTACTGACCTTGGGTGGAGCCCTTCAAGAAATGGCTAGGAAAACATGCAGTTTCTAGGGCCTAATAAGCAGGCAAAACAGATTTTGGGAGAGATCTCTCTGCTTTTAATTCTGTTGTGACTTCCAAACCCTGTTTGGAACAGAAACAGAAGTGAGCAACAGAAGGCAAAACATTTTATTTATTTATTGTATTTTATTTTTATTATTGTTATTCTGAGACAGAATCTTGCTGTGTCCTCCATGCTTGAATGCAGTGGTGCAATCTTGGCTCACTGCAACCTCCACCTCCTGGGTTCAAGTGATTCTTGTGTCTCAGCCTCCCCAGTAGCTGGGAATACAGATGCACACCACCACACCCAACTAATTTTTGTATTTTTTGGCAAAGATGGGGTTTCACCATGTTGACCAGGCTGGTCTAGAACTCCTGGCCTCAAGTGATCTGCTCGCCTTGGCCTCCCAAAGTGCTGGGATTACAGGTGTGAGCCAATGTGCCCGGCCCAAAACATATTAAATATAATAAAACTGAGAGTGTATAAATATACACACACACACACACACACACACACACACACACACACACACGTATATATATATATATTCTCACTGTATCGGCGTACTGTATAAAAACTTTACTCCAATAGCATGAACTTACTAATTTGGTCTAATTTTAAATATAGAAACATAGTGTGAATTAGTAAACAAAACAAAACAAAAAGAACGGAATCATAAAGCATTGTATAAAAATGAGTAAAGAAATAATTTTTACCCTAAAGTCCAAGGTCAAATTGGGCTAGCAAAGTTCACTCGGCCATTTTGGTTGTTATTTAGCACAGGTCCTTAGAGAACCTGTTTAAACAAATAAATCTGATCTGTTGCTAACAGGTCCATTGTTAATAGGTAAAAAGGTGTCTGAGATCAGTTTAGTCTCTTCTAAGTTCTTAGAACAACCTTTTTTTCCAATCCAATTTGTACCCTCAATGCAGAGAGTGCTTTTAAACACAATGGCAGTGCTAACAGATAGCTTGGGGGAAGAAGCAGGATGTTTATGGCTTCTCCCTTTTCTTTCCAAAACCCCGCCCCACTGAACCTTAATAAACACACTCTCTAGGTAGAAACCACTTCTCACTATGCCACACAACTGCAAGACACATTCCCCAGCCTCCTTCTCCATTCATGTAAAGAAAGTTTGGAGCTGCCACCATCATTACAACCCTATTTGAAATAATTACAAAATCTAGAATTAGAAGAGTTTAAATTTTAGGGCTCTATTATGTAACATATTCAGTAGTTATGGTCACCTTGGAAAGTTCTACAAAATATCCCTTAAGTTTTTCAAACTTTCCCACATGGATATCTTCTGGTTATAATAGTTTGCTCCATTTAATATGTGCACAGTTTCACTGCCAGGGTGGTTCTCCTACTTATCTTGAACCTAGTGTGAGTGTTTTGAAATGTTTCTGCTCATTAAAAAAAGAAGCAGAGCAATAGAGATGAGAGGAAAATCTGAAAAGATAATGACACAATTTCCCACTTAATTTTCATTAAATAAGCAATGAAAACTTTAGCTTCTGCATCAGAAAGTTTGATTTTTTTTTAATTATTATTATTATTTTTTAAAGTCAGGATCTCACTCTGTCACCCAGAGTGAGTGCAGTGGCATCATCACAGCTCACTGCAGCCTGGATCTCCCAGGCTCAAGTGATCTTTCCACCTCAGCCTCCCAAGTAGCTGGGACAACAGGCATGCACCACCACACCCAGCTAATTTTTTAGTATTCTGTAGAGGCAGGGTCTTGCTGTGTTACCCAGGCTAGTCTCGAACTCCTGAACTCAAGTGGTCCTCCCACCTTGGCCTCCCAAAGTGCTGGGATTAGAGGTGTGAACCACTGTGCCCAACCTAAAAAATTTGATTTTTTAATATACATGAAGTCAACTAGAATAAAATGTATATGTTATTCTATAATTAGAATTATTCTATTGCCTGCTTCTTCTAATGTGTTAATTTTGTTTTTTAGAATTAAAAGACGAATCTTATTTTTAATACCAAAGTGGCTTTATGAAGATATTCCTAATATGAAAAACAGCAATGTTGTGAAAATGCTACAGGTAACCTAACATCATCCAACAAAAACTGGGTGGCCACTGAGACCAAGAGTGAAGTCTAATTAGAATAGAATTTCCATTCAACTAAATAAATGTGTATACATATTAACATAAGCATATATACATAAGTAAAAACAAAATTGTACATATTTCAAACCCTACTTAAAAGAGATGAGATGATAGAGTTGGGGAAAGAAAACAGAGAAGAAATAAAGAAATAAAGCTGTTCAAAAAGGGAAAAGCGAAGTGGAAGATTGTGGGCCTGGTGCACGAGTCACCTGGTGACCATGCAATTGGTAGATGTCTTCAGGAACGGAGGGAGTAGGAAAGAAAAGCTGAGTGAGGTAAGCCTTGAAGACTCAAAGGGCTTCTGTTTCACATGAGATGGAGAATCAGGTGGAGCCCAAGAAGGGCATCATTTTACAAGTTAGACCCAATGGAATTTCAGAAAAGCAGTGTGAGAGAACTGTGAGCAATAGTGAGTGTCACAGGGGTGGGCTAGGTTTCCATTCTGGCAAAGAGAAAGCCACACACCAGGAAAACTCTAAGGATACAGGGGCTTCATTGGCTATAAAGGAGGGAAGGAACAGCTGTGTGTGTTCCTGATACCCCCCGCCCCCGCCAAGGGGCTCAAAGCACAGTCCAAGGGACAAACGCCATCATCCAAGCCTCGCAATGCAGTGATGTAAGTGCAATGATAGAAATGAGCCCAAACGTGATGGGAGCGGAGAATAAACACCGAAAGATGAGGAGCTGCTCAGGAGAAACAGAGGGAATTCAAAGTCAGGAGGACACCTGGGGGTCAGAGTAGCATGTTGGGTAAGGAGAGGAAGTGTTTGTAAAACAAATAGAAGTAGCTCTGTTTCAAGCTCTGGTGAGCCTATTAGCTAACTCCCCAACCTCATGTCATTTGAACAAAGGGTTTCTAGGATAAAAATAAAATACGTTTTAAAAGTTCAGAAACAACTGGTCAACAGAATGGAGTCTGAGTTCTGTAATGTAAGACTTCTGTGATCTGATCCACTCACCATTGCGGCATTGCTCCAGCCACTTCTCACATCAAGCTTTTCAATGAAGCGACAGCCAATGTACTATTCTTACCAAAACCTGGCAAACTCCCTAAGAAGGCTGGGCCTGAAGAAAATTGGAATGACACTTCATGTCTCGTTATTCAAGATTTCCCTCTTTGCTAAACTCCCTTCCTATTCTGGGCTCCTGGAATTAGAGGCAAACCTTAGGGTTTCCCTCAGATAAGGTGTTCTTTTCTGCCTAAGAGACTAAGGAATGGTGTCTTAGTCTGCTTGGGTGGCTTAAACAACAAACATGTATTTGTCACAGTGCTGGAGGCTGGGAAGTCCATGATCAAGGAGCCAGTCAATTCACTTGCTAGTGAGGGCTATCTTGTGGACAGCTGCCTTCACACATTGGCAGAGAGATCGTCTCTCTCCTGTCTCGTCTTCACAAATCCCATTCATGAGATCTCCACCCTGGTGACCTAATTACCATCCAAAGGCTCAACTTTCAAATATCATCGCACTGGCTTCACCATGAGTGGGGCTGAGGAGAGGGCACATAAACATTCAGTCCATAACAGGGGACTATAATTTTGTAATTGTGTTGGGTGACAGTTTGGCTAGGAAGGCCAGCCATCTGCTGGAAGGCTTCAAGTCCAGTTATTGCCCAGAAAATTCATCAGGCTAAAACCTTCACCCACCCTCTTGATCATCACAGACGTGTCTGAATTGTGAGTAGCTATACACCTTTGTTTATTTGTTTGTTTGTTGTTTTTTGTTTTGAGACAGAGTCTTGCTTTGTCACCCAGGCTGGAGTGCAGTGGCGCGATCTCCGCTTACATAACCTCTGCCTCCCGGGATCAAGCAATTCTCCTGCCTCAGCCTCCTGAGTAGCTGGGGGACTCCAGGCTTGCGCTACCATGCCTGGCTAATTTTTGTATGTTTAATAGAGTTGGGGCTTCACCATGTTGGCCAGGCTGGTCTTGAACTCCTGGTCTCAAGTGATCTGCCTGCCTTGGCCTAAAAATGCTGGTATTGCAGGCCTGAGCCACTGTTCCCAGCCACCTTTAGAACCTCAGCAGCAAGCATTTGTCACACGCTCATTCTCAGTATATAAGAAAAACAGGATTCTCCCCAACCTGTTTTTAATTTAACCAACAAAGTATTTTCTTATAATAAGAAATAATATTCTTTTAATGTTAAGAAATATTATAACATGTTTCTAAGATCAACTTTTTTTTGAGACGGTGTCATTTTGAGAAAAGCAATTTGAGAATAGCAATGTGAGAGGACTGTGAAAGACAGTGTCACGGGGCGGGTGAGGTGGACCAGGCTGGAGTGCAGTGGCGCGATCTCAGCTCAGTGCAGCCTCCACCTCCCAGGTTCAAGCAATTCTCCCACCTCAGAAGACCAACTTTTAAAAGGCTCTAAAATTAAGTAATAAGCTAATATATAAGACTCAATTTTTCTCTTTAAAACTTTTAAACCGAGAAGTATGCTTAAGAAGTGGATTATTTTTATTATTCCTTTTCTTCAGTCTCCTCATGCAGAATTTAATAAAGATTTGGAAGCAAGCAGGCTAACAGAAGACAAAAGGAGGAAATCATATGGGAAAATAAACAATATGAGAAAAGGGAGGGAGAAAGGAAAGTGGAAAGAAAACAAAATTCCAGTCCTCATTCAATGATCCAGCTGGTTCTTTTAAATGTCTTTTGTAAAATAAAACAATGTCTTTCTTTCCTAGGAGAAAAGTGAACTTATGAATAATAATTCCAGTGAACAGGTCCTATATGTTGATCCCATGATTACAGAGATAAGCGAAATCGTTATCCCACAACACAGGCCTGCAGACTACAAGAAGGGAAAGAATACAGGACCCCTGGAGACAAGAGACTACCTTCAAAACTCGCTATTCGACAACACCACGGTTGTGTATATTCCTGATCTCAACACTGGATATAAACCCCAAATTTCAAATTTTCTGCCTGGAGGAAACCGTCTCAGCAATAATGATGAAATCACTTCCTTAACACTTAAACCACCATTTGATTCCTTAGACTTAGGAAATAATTCCAGGTTAAAAAAGCATCCTAATTTTGCTTTTTCTGTCTCAAGTGTGAATTCACTGGGCAACACACTATTTCTTGAAGAATTAAGCCTCATATTAAATCAAGGAGAATGCAGTCCTCCTGACATACAAAACTCAATAGATAAGGAACCCACCACGCTTTTGGAAAACGATTCACCCAATGAAACTATTCCAGAACAGACCCTGCTTCCTGATGAATTTGTCTCCTGTTTGGGGATCCTGAATGAGGAGTTGCCATCTACTAATTCTTATTTTCCACAAAATATTTTGGAAAGCCACTTCAATAGGATTTCACTCCTGGAAAAGTAGAGCTGTAAGGTCAAAATCAATATGACAAAGCTACTTTGAAATCTGAACTTGAGTTTTTCCTGCAATAGAAATGGAATTCAACCTGTTTTTGAAAAAATTTATCCACATACAAATCTTCATGTGGACACATGTTTTCATTTCCCTTGGATGAATACCTAGGTGGGGGTTGCTGGGCCTTATGATAAGCATATGTTTCAGTTCTACCAATCTCATTTCCAGAATAGTGGCATTCTGTGTTCCTACTATCAACATGTGAAAATTCCAGGAGCGCCACAGCCTTTTAATTTTAGCCATTCTTCTGCCTCATTTCTTTCTTTCTTTTTTTTTTTTTTTTTTATCCTATTTCAAAGCTACTGAAAATCAAACTGCCTCATTTCTTAAAATTAGAGAATTAAGATCTGAAGGTGGAACATGCTTCATGGTCACACAGGCACAAAACCAGCATTATTTGGATACCTCCTATATTTTTTATAAAGCATCACCTATTTCCTCTTTATTTCCCCTCACTGAAAGATGCAAAACAGCTCTCTATTATATAAAGAAAGGATAAATCATGCAAAATATCTGGTAGTAAAATACATCCTGAAAATTGTCCTTTAAAATAGAATTAGGCTGGGCGTGGTGGCTCATGCCTTTAATCCCAGCACTTTGGGAGGCTGAGATGGGTGGATCGCCTGATTTCAGGAATTCAGGACCAGCCTGGACAACATGCTGAAACCTTATCTCTACCAAAAATACAAAAATTAGTGGGGGCATGGTGTCGGGGTGCTTGTAATCCCAGCTACTCGGGAGGCTGAGGCAGGAGAATCGCTTGAACCAGAAAGGCGGAGGTTGCAGTGAGCTAAGATTGCACTACTGCAGTCTGGCATGGGCAACAAGAGCAAAACTCCATCTAAAATTTAAAAATACATATATATTTGCTTGCAAAGGGAGAGGCAAGTTTAATTTTCATTTTGTCACTTAAAATTCTCTTTAGTAGATAAAAAATATAGCCCCAAATGACAAAATAAATGAAGAATAGAAACAGAAGAGAAGCTAATTAGCCATTTGCGGTATTTTTCCCCCTACTTTCCATTCAGGTATTAGGGATTTGATCTTAGTGGGACTTGTTAAGAGTGATGGCCTTGTTTTCCTGTGGCATAGTTGGGATATTATTTACACTATGGTAGAGCCTGTGAGAGGTAACAGATGCAGGATCACCAAGGTGTAATTTTTTTGTTACATTCTGGATATATGTTAGAAAATTGTTGTTAAAACAGATATTTGTTCAGTACCTGTTTTGATGGTAAATACTTGCTCAACCTACCATTGTCTTATATTCCATGTCTCCTGCAGATATCACTAGCCAGTCAGAACAGTCCTTTCTTCTGAGCTGTACCGCGCCGCAGAAGCCTCCCAAGCAGTGCTCCTTATGGCCACAGTCTATAAGAACTGGGGTGGGAGATGAGATCTATCTTGAGGTCAATATGGAAAGGTGATTAAATGTGTATTTTAAGCTGAGAAATGTTACCCAGCAGAATTTCCTATTGTGATTAACATTTATGGGCAAGGACAACTTTTCTGAATAATTGGAACAATTTAAAACAGGGTAGAGCAGGGCATGTAAATTCATGCCTGTAGTCCTAGCTACTCAGGAGGCTGAGGCAGAAGGAACACTTGAGCCCAAGAGTCTGCAATGCACTATGATCGATGATGGTGTGCCAGAGCGGCAAAGCCAGACCCCGTCTCTAAAAAATAAATAAAAATTCAGTCATTCATTAAAATAGGTAGATTACTCACTGAATTTCTTTTTCTCCTCTAGCAGTTGTCCATTCATACTCATATTTAATCATTTAATTTTATGAAAAATCAAGCAGTTAATTTAAAAACTCATTGCTTACTATGTCTTTAGCACATAAGGCTATTTTTGGGGTTTTTTTTGTTTGTTTTTTACAAAAATCTGAAAGCAGTTGTATGGTCATTAGGTATCCCTAAAATGAGGTTGACTGTGTATCGCAGTTTGCCCTGGTTTTTCTCCATTGTCCCAGTGTTAATTATGACCAGTAACCACCCTCATTCACTCTCAGAAGCATCCCTTATTTGGATAATAAATCATATGATCACTCAAGACTAATGCCCGGTGTGTAAGTAATTCATCAGAATTTGTCTTTTTTTGCACTGACAATCCTCTTTATTTTACTTCTTATCATTTACTAAGGCCATTTTGCTCTAAAAGGATATTCATAGTGTTAAAAAAAAAATGTATCCCCTGATATGAAACTCTATTCTGTTTATCTTAAAATATGTATATATTTGTTATACTTTGCATATTCTAAAAGCAATATATTTTAAATCACTAACGAAATGCTAGTCTTAAATATCTTGACTTGTAAATTGTTGTATGCCTTTGATTGATTCTTCTGCAAAAGGAGAACCATAAAGAAGCAAAGAAGTAGGTAGCTTTGGAGATCAAAATAACAAAAGACTAAATCTTTGATGTTTGCCGACCTGCTGAAGACATCTGGTAATATGTGAAGAATATTTTGATAGCACGTTTCACCATAATTGTCATCTATCACACGTGAAAAAAGCTTTTATCAAGCTTAAAGGATTATAGCATTATTTGATCTTCTGCAAATGCTTCCATTACAGCCAGTGCCGCCTCCTCACCCCCTGGAGTGGAAAGGATGCTGCTTTCTCATTCAGTGGTGACTTAACCCACATCACTGTTCAGCACAGAGGAGACACTTCTGATTCTGTCTTTGCCATTAGCCCTTGTCAGTCCCAATGGACTAGAAATTGAGACTATACCTGCAATGAGAGCAATGTACCTGCCTTTGTCCCAACTCGGGAAAATTTTAAGCTGCTTTATCACAATGCAACCTTTCCAGAGGGAGAAGGGGTTTCTTTCTAGAATTCTTTTATTCAAGAAGTATTCATTGAACTATTGAATGCTCTTACTAGTATATGTGCAAAGCACTTTGAAGGATATGGATGTTAACAAAACCAGTCAATCCCTGCAGCCTTGGGGCTTATATTCTAGGGAAAAGGGACAGACAGTAAATTAAGACAAGTCATTGCCCCCAAGGAGCTTACATTTTAGTAGGGAAGAGGCCAGAGGTAGGGGGTGGAGAAAGGCAGAAAAAACTTCAGGAAAATGTCAGTAAGTGCTGTATAGAGGGGTAAAATGGGATAATGTGGTAGAGAGCAACTTGCTGGCCACTTGACACTGGTTGGTCAGGAAAGATCACTCCCAGGAAGTGATACTGATGTTCATCTGAGTCTCAGGTAAGAGCCAGCTTGCCACTGACGAATTCCTTCTATAAAGTCTTGAGTGGCTAATGTCTTTACTTCTTTCCCTCCTATACGCCTTGCCCCTAGTTACCTCCCACCCTGACCACACCCCACCTCCCATCTTTACCTTCTTAAGCCAGAATTTTCTGCAGATTCTGAGGACAAATGCATATCTTTTCATCTTTCTATCTAGCTCTTGGGCCTATTATTAACTTTCTTTCTCTGAGTCTCACAATCTTTTAAGTTGCTGATTCCTGAAGGGGCATGTCCTGCTTCTTGGTATGGGTAAAGGGGTGGGAAGAAGAGAGAAAAAGAGAGAAAAAGCCTCTCAAGGTATGAATCAGAGGGAGGAAAGGAATAGAAATACAAAGAAAGAAGGGCAAGTTAATCCTTAGGAATGCTGAAGCGAAATGGAGTGCATAGTTCTGGAAGACACTAATGCTGATGAAGGAATATTGTTTCCTCCTGTTCTAGTATCTTTCCCTCTACCTCTCTTTTCTTACATAAAACCATAGGAGGAGGCACACGTGAAGTACAGTTTTGGGGTGTTTGCTTGGCACCTGTGCAGGTGTGTGTGTGTGTTTAATTGGGATTTCTTAAAAAAATATATATATTGCTCTGTCACTCAGGCTGGAGTGTAGTGGCACAATTGCGGCTTACTGTAGCCTCAACCTCCCAAGCCCAAGCGATTCTCCTATTCCAGCCTCCTGAGTAGCAAGTGCACACTACCGTACCCAGCTATATTTTAAATTTTTTGTGGAAGCAGTCTTACCACTTTTCTCGGGCCTGGTCTCAAACTCCTGGGCTTAAGCAATCCTCCCGCCTTGACGACTCAAAGTACTGGGAATTACAGGCATGAACCACTGCATCCAACCTAAAATTAGGATTTCTTTTTAGTTATAAATAGTATTGAAGAGAGGCTTATCAGTTTTTAAATGTGGTTCTCAGGTAATGTGGATTGCTGTTTGGCCTTCTGGTATGTTCCCTTGAGTGGCTAATTCTTATATTTTTAGTCATTCTCCCTTTGACATAGAGACAGCACATGACTATGGCATTGAGCAAAGGTTTTTAAAAATAAATTTTAGCAGTTGATTCCCTTTCTCCAAATGCAATCTGTTGACTAGGTGCAGTACCTCATGCCTGTAATCCCAGCACTTTGGAAGGCTGAGGCGGGCAGATTATTTGAGGTCAGGAGTTCGAGACCAGCCTGGCCAACATGGTGAAACCCAGTCTCTACTAAAAATACAAAAATTAGCCGGTCATGGCAGTGCCTGCCCCTAATCCAAGCTACTCAGGAGGCTGAGGCAGGAGAATTGCTTGAACCTGGGAGGCGGAGGTTGCAGTGAGCCAAGATCCTGCCACTGCACTCCAGCCTGGGTGACAGAGTGAGACTTGTCTCAAAAAAAAGAAAAGAAAAAAATGCAATCTGTTGCAGAATCCTCAAATGTAACACGGGTGAAAGCAAATCTGTTGAAACAGACGCTGGAGGTCATATCTGCGCCCTCTGCCTCTCCCTCTCTCTTCTCCACACTTGCCTCTGAAGCAACATTGAAAAGCTGAGGCTGGGGGCTCCACTCTTCTATACTTAGGAGACTGGGGTCCTGGACAAACCTGGAGAAACCTGTACTCGAGGACTGAACCTCACTCTGCACTTCAGCACAGGCTGTCAACACAGCTCATGGGACCAGAACCAAACCTTCCTCAAACTATACTCAGATTCATGACTGCAAAAAGGGCTTTCTGTCAGAGGCTGCTAATAGAGGCAGTACTACAGGCAATAATTAACTTGCTTCTCCCAATTACTTTACCATAAATGTCTGGACTTTGTTCAAGTTTATGTTCTTTTTAAGATCACTAAGAATAAAATATTGTGTTGTGAACATAATTAGATTTTATAAACCCAAAGACTGTGGAATTATGCTGCGGTTTATCTCTTTATGGAGTAATTATACCAATTATAGGAGACGATTTTAATGGGAAATGTTACCCATTTGGCAGACACTATTGGTTTAAAATGAAGTGATTAAAAGCAATTTATGAATCTCTCTTGGGTAAAAGAATGAAAACAGTATAAAATAATTGGATTCTGATTCATGAATTGTACAGAACTTTCTCAGATGCTATAGTTAAGGCAAAATTACAGGGAACTCTAACAAAAGTTTGATAGAATGTTATGATGTGTCTTTCCCACTGCTAAGATTACATCATTAAACCCTAATTAATGTTTTATGTTAGGGCTTTCTTAGCCATTTTGCTTATTTCACTTTTCCACTTACAATAACCACACTGAACCTTTTATATACAGAATTCCCATCGATTTCCTGAAGATGAGTTCCCATTATGCTTATATTGAGGAATATAAGTTATTATCTAGTTCTCATAATTAGCATTTAGCAACA